CAGGAACCTCTGTAATTTTCCTACCTTGTAAAAAAATGGACTACAGGTTTACATGTAAAAGACACGGTTTAAAATGGCAGGAAATCTGTGATCTTGGGCTAGGCAGAGTTATTTAACAGGACAACAAAAGTCCAACAATAAAGGGAAATAAATTGAATTTTCTTCTAAATTAGAAACTTGCTGTATGAAAGTGCAAAAGACAAATAGCAGATACAGAAGATACTTACAGATCACATGTCCAGAGGGGAACTCTTGTCTGAGTATCCACAGTGAGGAAATGGGCCCATCAGGTAAAGAGAGACATTTTACCAAAGAGAAAGTTCAGGTGCCACTGACTTCCTAGGTCCTGTTGCCAGGGGTGGGGTAGAGGTAGTCCTGACTTTGATCTTTGGAGATGGAGCTCCGTTTGGGTGGTTCTGTGTTTCCTCCTGATGAGACCCAGAGTGGGGATGTGACCTCAGGTGTGGAGCCAGCTACTTGTGTTAGGTTGCCATGTTTGAGGATGGACCTCAGTGGTAGAGTGCTTGGCTAGCATGTGCAAGGGCCTGGGTCCAGTCCAGTACCAGCATATACACACACACAAAAGAAACAACACACAGTCCCTCAAAGATGTTGAGTTGAGCATGGTGTTACACACCTGTGATCCCAGCTCTTTGGAGGCTAAAGCAGGAGGACTGCTGTAAGTTTGAGGCCACCCAGGCCACATAGTGAGTTCAAGGCCAGTCTGAACCAACAATGAGAACTTGTTGACCCAACAAAGGCCTAGTCAAGTGACATTTGGAAGGACAGTAAACTGTGAAACCCTGTCTTGAAACAAAAAGTTAGATTGGATAAAAAAGCAGGACCCAGACTGGCTGCACAAAATCCACTTTCAATAAAAGATACAGGGTCTGGGGATTTAGCTCAGCAGCATAAGTGCCTTCCTTGCAAGTGTGTGGTCGTGAGTTTGATCCCTGGTACCAATAAAAACGAAAAAGACAAAAAAAAAAAAAAAAAAAAAAAAAAGATACAGGTCCAAAGTAGAGGTTGAGAAGAGATACCAAGCAAGCTTTATTGAAGAAGGCTGCAGTTAGGTTCGTGGTATCAGGTTACTGCAGGGAAATGGATACAACTAAAGTGAGGAAAAACCAAGGTTTTTCTTCTCTCCCTGTACTGCCATGAACCCAAAAATGCTCTGCCCCTGAGCTACATACCCCTTTTATTTATTTTTATCTTGAGACAGTCTTATTAAGTTGCCTAGACTGATCTTGAACTTCGCATCCTGTGGGGGATGAGGTGTCACTTTGTAGGCCCAACCCCCTCTAACCTGCAATTTACAATAGCCCCCCTGGTATGCGAGACCGAGGTAGAATAAGAATGCCTGTTCTTAGTGAGATCTCTCACCCTCTGAAATCCATACTGTGAGCTGGCTTTGTTTTGTAGAAGTCTTGAGGAAGTGGCTGGCCACCCTTTGTGACACTAACAGCAGACAAATTAACAACATTTTTGAGCTAATGAATTTTTTTCTGGGCTAGAGAAGTTAGGAAAACTGGTTGTGGTTATTTACTTCACTTAGATAGTTTAGAATAAACATTGTAGTCTGTCACGTTGTAGCTTGCCACAAAGAATGCCTTTTCACTACTTAATTATCTGGGCTCTGTGAACTGATCCGGTTTACTATATATGAATCTTAAAATAAAGATTGTGCGTGCAGTGCAGTGTAACGCGGTGCAGGCAGTAAAGGTGCCGTGTTTCTCCTGTCTTCCTTTCCGAGCACTGTACCCCCCGTGTCCCGATCAGGCGTGTTTGCGTGTTTACCTTTCCCGGAGTTCAGAGTGCCCTAGACACTCACGACAGCATCCTCTTGCCTTACTTAGCCTACTGAATATGGCATGTACCACCATGTCCAGTTCCTTTTTTTTTTTTCTGGTACTACATATTGAACACAGGACCTCACACTGGCCAAGTAGGTGCTGTGCCCAATTTATTTGCTTGATTTTTTTGGGGGGGGGGAGGGGTACCAGGGACTGAACTCAACCTTGTGTTTGCCAGGCAGGTGCTTAGGCCACTGAGCTAAATCTCCAGCCCACTGTGTCGAGTTTAAATCTACAATTATATTTGGAAATTTTTTTTATGCCCTTCAATCCATTCCAAATATTTGGAAATTTTTAATACTATTCTCAGTAATTGTAAATAGAGGCAGGAGAATCAATTTGAGGCCAGCCTGGGCTATATAATGAGTTTGGTGTCAACCTGGATTACGTAAAAGACTTAAACAGCCAAACAACAAAATGATTACTAAATGTTACACAGGACTTCCCACACTGTCAACCACCTCCACCTCATCCCTGCTAGTAAGACATCCAATACCAGCTCCCACTTTAAGGATATGTTAAAGACTGTTCTCAGGATACTCAGTGAAACTGGTGACAGTAATTATATTTAACAGAAGGTGTACACTATTAAGATAAAAATACCGATCCATTGAGCATTAACAAAATGGACATGTCTTAGCAGTTAGCGGTGGAAGAGTGTCGTGGGTCCTTGGAAAGTTCATGTGGAGGGCTGGAAGCACAGGAAGGGATCCTCGCCTGGTAATCCCCAGTGGTATCATGCAAGCAGATACTGTGACCCAGCAGCTCTCCTGGCCTAACAGTGAAGAACTTGAATGCAACAGAAATGTGCAGTGGGATATTTACACCAGTAAAATGTAGTTAGCTTTCCACTGTGGATGAAATACCTGAGATATATATATATATATATATATATATTTTTTTTTTTTTTTTAATTTATTTTTGAGACGGTCTGGGTGTGTAGCTCAAGCTGGTTTTGAAGTTACCAGCCTCCTTCCTCAACCTCCACCTAGTGCTGGGATTACAGGTGGGGACCTCCATTCCTTGTTTAAGAAGAAAAAAGTTTGGCTTGTGGTCTGTGAGCCCAGGGCTCCTTTGCTCTGGGCCTGAGGGGAGGCATAGGGGCCACCGAGGAGGGCAGTGTGGAGGAGGCTGCACACCTCCATATGGCTAGGAGGCATAAAATAAGGCCGGAGCATCCACTTGAGCCATCTTTTCCACGCAGCCCCTCTCTAAGGTCTTAGTGGCTGTGGACCCGCAGTGGGTTAATAGTCCACCGCGAGGACGTCAGTGGTCCCGTGATCAGTCGCTTCCCTGAAGCCCTTTTCCCGAGTGCTGCTGCACTGGACACCAAGTCCTCAACACACGCGCCTTTGGGGCTTTCCAGAATCCAACGACAAGCTTCGAGTGCAGAACGAGCCGCTTCACCCTTTTCAGCTGTCTGCTGAGCAGCCGCCCCCAGCTCTGTCCCCATTAAACTAAACCCCTGCACCACTCTCCAGTGCATCTCTGATCGGTGGCTGCGGGGCCTGCTGTACCACGCGAGATCCGTCCTTCTGGGACGGGTCACTCCGCTCCGCCCAGGCCCCAGGTTTGTCTCTGTGGGCGCTGTGCTCACTGACAGGGCTTCGTTTTCTTCTGCTCTGTCCTCTCACCCTGGCCCCCATCCAGACGTTTCGCCAGCCAGCAGAGCTGATTGCAAAGGGGCCAGGACAGGGCTGCCTGGAACGCGGGTGCCGACTCCTCGTCTGTGCCTGGGATAGCACTGGCGGGCTGCCCACAGGAAGAGGACTGACTGAGCCTCCCATGAAAGGAGCTCAGTCTGGTCGGGCATCCAGGTACTCCGACTGGATTCCTGCACAGGTTGTCCTGGGCGTTTCCAGGCCGGCTGGGCTCCGGGGAATCAGTTCCCAGTTCGTCTGTGGCCGCACCACGTTTGCCCTGATACCCACGCGTGTCTCACTCACGCTGCCCTGCTCGTGTCGCTGCAGGTCTCGAAGTGAGACCCGCAAGCGAGCAGCCCAAGGACACAGCAGATAAGGACGACAGAGGGGAGGAAGGGCCATCCTCAGGCTCCGAGACAGGCGACGCGGTCAGGACCCTACCCTCTGATGATGGCCACGCCTACCACCTCAGGTCGCCACCGCCCGCCTTCTGGGAGTGGAGGGCTACGTCACTACCGGCGCACGTAGGACAAGGGGCGGGTCCAGCGCAGGCGCACGCTCTGACCTCGTATTCTCGGGGAGTCAGGCGACAGGTTCCGCCCACTCACATCGGAGTTGCTCCGCCTCCGGCGTCTCCCCGCTCACCAGGCGCTGTGGGGCTACAGCGCCACGCGCGGGCGCGCGGTGTGCGGGCGCGCGGGACGGCTGACGGGTTAGTGGCGGCCAATCAGGGCGTCGTGAGGGGGCGGGGTGTCGCCCGCGGTTTTGTTCCGCCCGCGGCTGAGGCACGTCGTCCCGGTGCGAGGAGCGCGGCCTGTGCGGCCGTCTTCCTCGCTCCCCTGTTGTCGGTCCCGTCGCGCTGCGTAGGTTCCGAGCCGGGTCGGCCGGGGTGCGCGCGCCCAGTCGCAGTCTGCTGAGTGCCATCGCGGGGCTTCGCGCGAAGTTGGGCCGCCTGCTCCGCGGACGCCGCGTCCCGTCGCTGTCCGCACCCCGCGCCAGCCGTTCTTTGCAGTGGACATAGGACCGCGCCGGCGTGCAGGGTGCAGGACTCTGGGCACTCGAAACCTTGCCCGACTGGCCGGCCTAGGGCTCCGCGTTTCCCGGGACCCCCGTGCACTTTGAGACCCTTGCGCGACCTGGGACCCCTGTGCACCTCGGGGACCACCACTCCCCGGTGTATCTCGGGACCCTCGCGCGACCTGATATCCCCGTGCACCTTGGGACCCTCTTGTGCATACCGGGACCCCTGTGTGCCCCGAATGCCCAGCACCTTAAGGTTCCCCGCGTGTCCCGCGACCCCCTTCGACCAGCCCAGACACTCCACGAGCTCCAGCACCCTGAGCGCTCTTCGACCTATCCAGGTCCCCGGGAGCGCTGTGAAGGACCGCACGCAGCCACTTGTTGAGTCAATTTTGTCGCTTTTGCGACCTGACGCCTGTTCCCTGTTGGGCCAGTGGCTCTTTCCGGGGCTCACGTGTCTGTCATTTTGTAGCCCAGAGAAGCAGGAAGTTTGACAACATTCTATGGCGCAGTACGGGAGGCCCTAGGTGGACCCAGACCACGTGTGACCCTCCCCACAACCTGCGGAAGGCGCGGCGTTGAATTGGGATTCTGAAACTGCTTTCCTGCGCAGCTTGGAGGAGTGTAAGTCGCTTTAAGACTGTCCCTGCGAGTGTTAGATGTGTAGTAGTTTACTGTTTCTGATTGGTTAATTCCTTACTGTACGTTGGAGATTAATCTTAGTACAGTGGAAGATTGGAGGTTTTAGCACTACACTTGCATAAAATTAACTTTCTTGACTGTTTGCATTTAATTTTGGAGTGAATCTCCGTTAAATCTATGATTCTATTAGTTACTTTTTTTGTTGTTTTTTTGCACTGCTGGGAGGCGAACCCAGGGCCCTTTTGGTGCTGGTAGGTGCTTATATGCTGAGCTGTACCCAGCCTCTTTTTTAAAGCTCAAACAATTACTTTTTAGGGCCTGTGATAGTCTCTTAACTTTGAGGATTTATCAAGTTGAATTAGTTGGACATACTTCATTTTCACATTGTATAAAAAATTTTAAGTGGTACATACTAATTTCATTTCATTGGTGCCAGGGATGTAGCTCAGCAGCATATGTGCTTGCCATGATGGTTGTGAGTTCGATCCCCGGTACCAATAAAAATTAAAAATAAATAAATAAACTAATTTCGTTTCATGCTGATTCCATGACAGACATGATCACCTGTCATCTGTTGTCACTTGTGTCCCTGATGAAAACAGGTCCATGAAGGGAAGTATGGTCTCTTCTTCTGAAGGTAAAAAAGGCCAGAAACTTGTTTTTGAAACACCAGATAGTGTTCCAGAGTAGAGATTGAGGTTGTTTGGAAATAGTGACTTTTCTTTGAACGGAGCTAGTTGGTATAAGAAGTTCTTGCAGATAGTTCTTCCCTGGTTCATTTGCTGTTGTTCCTTCCAGAATGTTGAGCATTGGAAATAGTGACACCTTTCTAGGGTTGGATATATGATTCTCCTGCTGTCCATGGACTTAGAACTTGATTCTGGAGTTCATCCTTCTAGTGATCTATGTGATGTCACTTTGAGGGTTGCATTGCTTGCTTGGCAGGTAACATGATAAGAGTTACTCCTGTGGATGGATCCTTAATGTGTTTTTTTGTTTTTGTTTTTATTTACTTAGGTTGGATTTAGGGGCCACAGAAAGCACGGAAAATGCCAGAGTACTCATTTTTCAAATGGATGCATTGGGAACTTTTTGCTTAGAGACATTTGCTCACATGCACTGTTGTGCCCAGGGAACAGGAAAGTAAGGGGGCTTTGACTGAGAATGTATTTTGCAGTTAGAGAGGAAAACCAAGAAAATCTTTATTTTGCACTGCACCTACACATTGCAAACATTGAAAACACGTTTTAAAAAATTAGAATTATTTTTTATATAAAGCCTTTCAACATTTTCTGCGATGGTGTTTCTCAGAGTGACTTTCTCAGCCTTTTAAGCATTTGATATAAGCAGTCATAATTTAAACATGTATCACAGACCTGGGTACTTTCACATGTATTACTGTGTTTGATTCCTTGAGGCCTCATGAGGTCTGGGTAGTTCTTCCTTATTTTCAGTTTCCAAGAAGCTCAGGGCCAGGAGGAGAAAGGCGAGCCCAGATCCATTTGCAGTATAGCAGAGTCTGAACCTGTAGCTTCCACTCAGTGCTCAGGGTAAAGTTGGCCAGGGCCGGGCATTTTCTTCCTTGTGGAAATGTGTCAGTGATCATTGGTAGACAGGTGACAGCAGCCATTTCTATTTTTTTTTTTTTTTGTCTTTTTTTTTTCGTTTTTATCAGTACCAGGGATCGAACTCATGACTGCCTGCTTGCAAGGCAGGCGCTTATGCCGCTGAGCTAAATCCCCAGCGCCGCCATTTCTATTTTTAAGATTTGAGTTTCTTCTCCTTTGGATTGCAAAGGTAACACTTGAAGCAGGGTTTCTGTATATTTAAAGAAATAGACTTCATTTTTTACAGCAGTTTTAGGTCCTCAGCACAGTTGAGCAAAAGATACAGAGTTCCATCTGCTCTTTAAACCTATGCAGGCTCCCTGCTTTCCCATCTCAGGACTGCTACTACACATCTAACATTCGCAGGAATCAGAAGCTGGCTTCCTTACTTCATGCTTTAGGAACCAGAGCAGAGGAGAAATGGTTCCTCCAGAGTACAGATTTAAACTCAAATCCTGGTCTGCTGCCAGGCCTGGCTCTCAAAGTGCAGGCAGCACTGAGCAGAAGGTGCTCCTCCACCCTCCCAGCTCACACTCCTCTGTAGCCAGGTGTCCACAGATCCATCATCGCTGCCAATCCCAGGGTCAGGCAGCTAGCAGTCAAGAGGCCAGGATGAATTCTGTGGGCGGAGACCCCTGCAGTGAGGAGCTCCAGTAGGGTGTGGGGTGAGAGACCTGGGGAGACCCAGCCGGTAGGTGGAAAAGACCAGGGACTGTGATGTGCATTTGGGCCGGAGGGAGCAGCTGGGAACAGTGTAATCTGCTCCGGCACAGCATGTCCAAGCAGAGCTGGGCAGGGCGCCATGCCTGAGTGGAGGGCACAGCAGCCCTGAGCGGTAGGAGATGGGGCTGAGGGGGCACTGTAGAGAGTGGACAGTGAGCACAGCAGAGTGGAGACATGGGAGGAGAGGTGCACCCAGTCACTTGTCGCTGGGACAAAGTACCTGACTCTCAGAACCTAGTGGCGAGGTTTGTTTTGGCACATATTCATGGCTGGCTGGCTTCAAGGCTGACTGGCATGGCCTAAAGGCAGGAGAAGAGCTGCTCAGGGCACCCAGGAAGCACACTGCAGGGAGGAACCAGAAAGAGGTGGACCCTTTCAGGCCACGTACCCATGCAGGGCCTCTTCTGACCAGGTCTCCATCCTCAACTGCAAGTCACTGGGGTGGGTGCCGGGACACATCCACAATCAGCAGCCTCCTGGTCTCCAGGCTGCAGCCTGCTGGAGGCACCTGCATGCTTTCCATGGAAAGCCATGCTGGGTGTCCAGGGCATTGGCTTCACGGGCTCCCCTCCCAACAAGCTGGGAGGTGGGAGGAGGGGGATCCCCAGGCTGAGTACTAGGATAGGCTCTGGGAGCAGGGGACTGACCCATTAAAGCCTGATTTGGACTCTGTGATTTGTTTTTTTTTTTTTTTTTGGTACAAACTCACGACCTATGCCTGCTGAGCTAAATCCCCAACCTGGACTCTGATTTTGCTGGGGACTTTGGGGAAAAGCTCTCACCCAGGTGCACTGTTTACATATGGAAAGAGGAGCCGGTGTGAACTCAACTACAAGCCTATCTGTGGCTGAACTGGAACTGGAGGTGCCCTGTGTATGCATTGTCTTCCAGGAGGGCTCCAGAGGCCCCCCCACAGCACCCTCTCGGTGAGGGGGTAGAGGAGACTGTGGGGAGAGGGCAGGGAACAGCTGCTAACAGGTGCTTTCCCACCTACACCTCTGCTCTAGAGGGAAACAGGGCGGAGTTGCAGGATGTGGGTGCTCTGCAGGTGTGGCACCCACAACTTCGTAGGCTCATACCTGCACATTGGTATGGTGAAGCACACAGCTTGTTGTGGGTGAATGATACTCCCCTGGACCTTATGTTAAAGACCTGACCCCTAGAATCCTAGAATTGACATTAGATGGAAATAGGGCTGTTGCCTATGTACTTAGTGAGGCTCTGCTGCAGGAGGTGGACATCAATGGTCCACATTGATGTATCCTTGTGAGAGGGACAGGTAGACACAGAAGAGGAGGGTGAGAGCAACTCTCTACAGTCTTCAGGGGCTGTTCCAAACGACCCGTTTGGTGAGACACTGTTAGGACTTTGTAAATGCTCGTTCTGACTCCAAGTAATTGTTTTTTTTTGTTTGTTTGTTTTGTTTCACTTTTTTGAGACAGGATCTCATTACATAGTTCAAACTAGCCTTAAACTCACCCAGGCTGGCCTTGAACTTGTGGTGATCCTCCTGCCTCAGGCTCCTAAGTGCTGGGATTACAGGCCTGTACGACTATGTGTGGCTTCCGTATAATAAGTTTGAATTAAAAAAAAAAATAGAACCCACTTCTGTGTCCCTTTGAAGGATGACTCGCCAAGGGTACTGGCCTGGGGACTTGTGATACGGCATAAGGGAGGAGGGTGATAGAAAGGCCTGGATCTGGCAAGAACTTGGGCTCTGGCCTGAGACCGGGTCATGTGGGGAGGCAGGAGGAGTAGGCTGAGGCTAGTGATGATGGAAATGGGCTCTGACTTGGGCCACTCCATGTGGGGAGACTGGTCTGGGGGTGGAGGGGAGGGTGTAGGCTGCTGCACCTTCTGAGATGCCCAGGCATGTGATCCTCAGCTCCTGCAGGCACCCTAAGGGCCTGGGGCCCACCACCCTCATCTAGGCAGCGGTGCTTAGACCTGACATCTGAGCCAGTGTTCTCTTACCTTGTCCACCTGCCCTGCATTCACCTCAGTAGGGTGGACTTCTGCCAGTTTTCCCTTTCCTGGTACCTCCTGCTCAGCTTGCTGTCTTGGTCTCCTCATCACTCTCTTGAGGTATTTCTCCATCCCTCTAAACAGGCCATCCTAACAATGATGGCTCTTCCCTGTGGCTGTCTGTAACTGTGTCAAGGTCTCATGTCTTGTGGTTCGTCTGTACATCATCTGATCTTTGTCTGCTTTACCCCAGGACCTACCCAATGTGACTGTCCCTGTGGTTCTGTTTCTAGTAAAGGGAGACTGGTTTGAATTGTGGATTGAATTGTGTTCCCCTTCAAAGCTGTATTGAAGTCCTAGCTCCTGGTCACCTAAATGTGAGCTTATTTGGAAGTAGGGTCTTTACAGATGTAATTTATAAACCAAGGTGAGGCTGTACTGGGTTAGGGTGGGCTCTGATCCAGTCACTGGTGTCATGAGAGAAGATGCACAGTGGAGATGCAGCTGTACAAGTGTGTGCCAAGGTACATCAGCCTAGGCTACCCAGGCCACCAGGGCTCAAGTGCCAGGGCTAAGAGGATAAACCTCCCTTAATACCTGTCAGTGTGGCCGCCTTGGGAATGGAGCAGATTTGAACTTGGGCATTAGCAACCATCTCAGTGCTATGCCTTCCTTTGCCTTGCAGGAAATCCATGTTCTGTGCTGGGGTCTGGTTGTTCCTAGCCTCTGCCCTCAGCTTCCGGTGGAAGGAGGAGCTTCTGGTGTCTGCAGAGTTTCGTCACTTCTGGTTGAAATTCTGGGGATGGGACCCTGGGCCTGGGTTGTCTGCACTGAGCAGTCCTGTGCCTCGGGAAGTGCTGTGTGCACTTTACATGAGCCTGTGGGTTGTGCGAGGTACGGTCTTTCTTGTGAACCAGTCAACTGGCAAGAGTTTCCCATAAGTATTTTTAAAAACATTTTAAAACTTTTTTTTTTTAAAAAAAAAATAAAAGCAAAATGTTAAAACAAGATAATAGGGTAATAATGATTAATACATTGTATATTATTATCTTTAAATTACTTACTCAGAGTACAAGATATTGGCATTTCATTGTCCAAAGAATATTAGCACAAACATTTCTTCTCTGTGAACTAAGAGAAATTAGTTGGTATAATTATCATAACTATCTTGTATGTATGAATATATGTGTGTGTGTGTGTGTGTATTTTTTTTCCTTTTTCCTTTTTTTCTTTCCTTCATCCCAGTCTCTCTTTCCTTTTGAACCATTTCTTCCCATTTTACAATATCTATTGTACATTTTGGATCTTATTCACTCTCTCAGCTTCTCCTACTAGGGAGACAATAAGATGTTTGCACATCTTATTTATTTCACTTGTGTCTTGTTTATTTCACTTTGTGAGTATGGTCTTGAGTTGCATCCATTTACCTATAAAAGTCTCCCAGTTTTATTCCATTTATGAGTGAGTAGTACTCCTTTGTACAAAAAGACCACATCTTTTTTATCCATTTCTTGGTTAATGGGCATTTGGATTGTTTCCAAGATCTAGCTATTATGAATTGTGCTGCTATAAGCATGGGTGCACATACGTCCCTTGTGGTATGATGTTTTTAATTCTGGGCAGATAACCAGAAGAGGAATAGCTGAGTCAAATGGGACCTCTAGTCCTAGTTTTCTGAGGAATCTCCATACTGATTTCCACAGTGATTGCACCAGTCTGCACTCTGACCAACAATGGAGAAAGGTTCCTTTTCCTCTACAGCCCACCAGCGTTTGTTACTGGTTGATTTAGTCTTTCTTTCTGGGATGAGGTGGAATCTCAGTGTTGTTTTAATTTGCATCTCTTGAGTGACCAGTGATGTTGAACATTTTTTCACGTATTTATTTGCTGTTTGTATTTTTTCATCTGAGAAGTGTGTATTCAGAGGCCTATTTTTGGATTGGGTCTTTAAATCTGAGAGGACTGATTTTTTTTGAGTTCTTTATATATTCTTGATAGTAATGCTTTGGAGAACAAGTGGCAATCATTTTCTCCCACACTGTGGATTGTCTCTTTACTCTGTTGGTGGTTTCTCTTGCTGTGCTGAAAGCTTTTTAATGAGATGAAATCCCAGTTGTGGTACATATTTTGTTTGTTTGTTTGTTTTTTCAGACAGGGCCTCACTTGAACTCACTTTGTAGCCCAGGCTGGCCTCAAACTCATGGAGACCCTCCTGCCTCAGCCTCCCGCGAGTTGGGATTACAGGTGTGCACCGCCATGTGTGGACATGAGGTTTTGAATGTCTGTCAGGGTTGACAGGATGATGGTGCTGCATCTCCTTGCTATTCTCTTTAGTGAGATGCCACCCTTCCAGGTGTCCATGTGTTGTGTCATCACAGGCAGTAATGCAGTCAGGGTGGTAAAGCCAGTGTCATCTGTCAGTGCTTGGTCAGATTTTGGGGTGGTTGCATCTGTTTTCTGATGTGTGGTAGTGTACTCTACCTGGTCCCCTTCAGTGAGGACATAGGCTTGCTCTGGCCTTGTGTTATTTGGCCCAAGAGGCCTTGCTTGGTTTGCCTGATGTTTCCTTCTAAGGGGTCGGTGTGCTCTTCCTGCGTCAGAGGCCCTGCAGGCAGTGTCCTCTCCAGCTGCAATCTGTGTGGGCCTTCTGAGTGCTCCTGGTGGGAGGCTGGACTTTCAGACTTCTTGCTCTGCCTACCGTTGTAGTTGGCTCTGTGTTGTATGGAAGTGCTTCCCCTTCTCCTGTGTACTCATGATTTTCATTGCTGATGACGTGATGGGTTCTGGGAGCACCACTTCCTTGTGGAGTGGTCCTCTTTGTCATCACCCTGTGCTGCTGTCAGTGACACCTTGTCCTCCTTGGTGCTTGACCTTGCACCTTGCACCCCAAGGTGCTCCAGCTGTGGAGTCACGTTTTTCCAAGGACAATGTGGCCCCTAAAAAAGATAAAAAATAGTCACTTTCCAGTTGTATTGTGCTGCTGAGGCCTATGTAGGGCTGATGTGTGCTTTGTAAAACCAGGAGGTTTTGACAAGGCAAATGTCAGGCCTCAGAATAGTATCAGAGCTGGAAGAGAAGAGAGCTAGTATGGATGTTGGGGTAGTTGGGGCTGAGGATCGTGCCTACTTGCCCTGCATCCGACTGAGCATGGCCCCTGCAGTGCCCTGTCCTTCAGGTGGGTAGAAATGAGAAGCAGAGCTAGGCTGCTTGTGCTTGCTGTGTCCCTGCCAGCTGTGCTGTTGGCAGTGCTGATCCTGTGTGGCATCTGGCTCAGTCAGTCTCCTGGTTGGAACACACAGGTGTGGCTGGCCTTGCCCTGGAGTTCTGTAGCTTTCAGGTAGGAGTTGTGGACAGCACTCGTCCTGGCCAGGACAGTGCGGGGGGCCACCTGTGCTGAGCACACCAAGTGTGTGAAGGGCAGGTATTGTAAATACTGATTAGATGGCCTCCACAGAATCAGTGGCTCAGTCCTTGTGCATATCTCCTCGTCTGGAGTGGCCACACTGGCGGATGGTACCCATGGGGTCCCCTCACTGCATTTGGGACAGATGGTCATTTGGAAAGCCCCGGGGCAGGGTGGTCCTGCTGGACCTAGTGGCAATTGGGGACAGGTGCTCCAGACAGCAGTGGAGAGGCCCTCACTGCTGTGTCAGCTTCAGGGGTGCTGTTCTTATTTCCCGGGGCACCCTGATCTGACTTTGTAGGTAGCAGTCTGTCCCACTGTGGGAAGGTGACCACTGTATCTGTCCCTTCTTCGTGTAATGGGAAGCTGCTGTCCCACAGCTGGTGGCCTCAGTGCCTGCTAACCCTTGGGGGGCTCTGAGCAGGACTGAAGCTGTGCATGGTGCTGCGATGCTGGCTGCTGGTTAGGTCTCCTGGGTGAGGTCTCCTGGGCTGGAGAGCTCAGGGCCTAGGAGCCCACTTTTATGGTCACTCCACATCAACTTGGCCACTGCACAGGGGAAACTCAGCTTCAAGGAACTGGAGCCTGGGGGAGAGAGGAGTTCAGTGCTGGAGCAGCCCTGAGGATGTAGGGGCCCAGCGGCTGCTTTTAGGGTTCAGGAGCCCCAGCCTGCCTTCCTAGCAGATTTCTGGCTTGTAGGATACTGCTGCTTTTACCTCCTGTCCTATTCTTTCCCCACTTTTGGAGCAGGCCTGTGGTAGCCTCAGACACCTGCTTCCAGTGAGCACCTCTGAGCCTCTCTACCTTTTATCCAGGAGGCTCCCGAGGTAGAAGCTGTGCGAGAGGGAATGTGGGGAGTTTCCAGGGTGGGAGGGTATTTCTTAGGTAAGCATGTGTGCACGTGGGACTCAGCATGTGGCAGAAAGCATGCTCTGTGTAGTCATGCAACTGTTTCTCTTTGCAGAGACACAGCTCTGAAAAGCCTATGGGGATGGGTTGTCCTGCTGTGAAAATGGACACATAAGCCTAAGAGTTAGCTCAATCTCAGCGATGGCCAGGGCCATCTGACAGCTGATGCTTCCATTGGTGTGAAAGGAGGCAGGGTCTCAGCCATGGTCACACTCATCACTGAGAAGCTGCAGAACCAGAGCCTGGATGACCTCACCTGCAAAACCCGAGAGGCTGGCCAGGTGAGTCCGCTTGGGGGACCAGAGGCATAGTCTGCCATGAGGAGTCAGGGAGGAGGGAAGCATGGATGGGGTTGACCCTCAGAGCCCATCAGTGTCACTGCAGAAGTAATGGATCTTGTGTTGGGAAGCTGATCGCGTGTGGGCCTTGAACACTGCCAGTGCATGTGTGGACACTTGGCCTTCTCTATGCTTTGGTGTTGTGGATGGCTTTGCTGTGAACATACATATGGGTTTGTGAGTGCACATATGTTACATCTGGGGGTGTTGCTGGCTCTTCACAGTGTGAGTGTGGCTGACCTGTGTGCCCTAGCAGGGCAGGAAGGGTCCAGTGTCTCCACGCTGTCTTGGCACACTTGTTACCCTCCAGCTTTATGATTTCAGTGGTGCCAGAGGCAAGAGGTGCATCTTTTTGTGGCTTACTGCTTTTGTTTTTGTGGTCCTGGACATTGAACCCTGGGCCTTGTGCCTGCTGAAGGAGTGCTGTGCCACTGAGCCACATCCCCAGCCCTCATGCAGCTACTGTCTGCTTTGAGACAGGGTCTCGCTGAGCAGTGGAGGCCAGGCTCCAGCTCCTGATCCTCTTGACAGACCCTGAGTGCTGGACTGCACAGCGCATGTCCCAGGCCCTGTTCTCCATGTGATTTCCATTCGCATTTCCCCAATGACTAGCTGTGAGCATTTGCTTATGTACCCGTTGTCAGCTGACTGACATTTTCTGGAGGAATATCCAATGTAACCCTTGGGTCACTCACAAATGGGGTAAACCTTTGTTGTTGATTAGGGAGCAGTTCCTTATGAGTTCCCAATCTGGTGCCTTACAGATGTGTGGATCATAGCACTCTCACCTGTGCAGGGTGCTGGCCTCTTACTCCCTTGATAGTGTCTTTGATGCATAGTTTTCATTTTTTTTTTTTTTTTTTATCAGTACTGGAGATTGAACTCACGACCACCCGCTTGCAAGGCAGGTGCTTATGCTGCTGAGCTAAATCCCCAGCCCTAGAAGTTTTCATTTTGATGAAACCCATTTGACCCATCTTTTCTTTTGTTACTTATACTTTTAGGTCATATCCAGGAATCCTTTGCCAAATATAGCGTCACGAAGATTTTTTCCTGTGCTTTTCTATTTTCCAGAACTGAGAAGTTGAAAATTAAACCCAGGGCCTTTATACGGAGAGTTACGTGCTCAGCTCCTTTTTTTTTTTGTCTTTTTGAGACAGGGTCTCACAAAGTTTAGGCTGGTCTTGAGCTCACTTTGTAGCCCCGGCTGGTGTCAAACTTGCAAACAGTTCTCCTGCCTCAGGTTCTTGAGTACAAGGATTATAGGTATGAGCCACCATGCCTGGCTTTTCCTTTTTTAATTTTGAGACAGGGTCGCTGTAAGTCATTAGGCTGCCCAGGCTGGGCTTAAATTTTCCTATGTCAGCCTCTCAGAATGTTAGGATTTCAAGTGTGCACCATTATGCCTGGCTGTTTTCTTTGAAGATTTATGGTTTTAGCTTTTACATGTAGGTGTTTGACTCATTTTTACATGTGGTATGCAGTAAGTGTCCAGTTTTGTATTTTTGCATGAAAACAAGTTATTTCTTGAAGAGACTGTTCTTTCCCATTGAACTGGAAAAGAATTTTGGCATCCTTGTCAAAAATTTCTTTCTTTTTTTTTTTTTTTTAAATGGCAGTACTGGAGAGTGAGTCCACAGGCACTCTGCCATTGAACTGTATCCCTAGCCCTTTGAAAAAGATTTTTTATTTTGAGATAGGATCTCACTAAGCTACCCAATCTGGCCTTGAACTTGCAATCCTCCTGCCTCAGCCTCCACAAGTCCAGAGATTACAGTTGTACACCACTGTACCCAGCAAAAATTTACTTTTTTTTTGGGTACTGGGGATCGAACTCATAACCTTGTGCTTGCCAGGCAGGTACTTGTGCTGCTGAGCTAAACCTCTGGCCCCCAAATTTTACATTTTTAAAGCTAAGTCTTTGAAACTTAGTGTGTATTTTATATTTACAGAAATCTCAATTTGTTTTTTGACTTTCTGATACAAAGTCTTGCTTCATAGATTAGGCTAGTCTTGGTCTCACTGCATAGCTGAAGCTGGCCTCAAACCTGTGGTGATCCTCCTTTCTCAGCCTCATGAGAGTTAGGATTAGGCTACATATCTAGCTTGCAAATCTTAATTTGCACAGTAAATTTTTATTACAAAAAGTTAAAGAATAAAAATTAATTGCAGAAATATTACCTCTTGTTCCATGAAGCTGGGGGGCGGGGCGCTGTGTGTCCAACCTCAGCAGTGGCTACAGTATGGGGCTGAGGACCTGGGTTTGACTTTAGTGTAGTGTAAGTTTAGTTGAAGCAGCTGTGTGGTGGCACAGACAATGCAATGCGGTCTGCAGTGTGGTCTCCTGTTTTGCAAATAGCAGTGTTCAGCTGACATGAAGGCTCTACTTGGGTCACCTCCATGGCCACATTGCCCTCTCCTCTTTCCTCCCTGGTGGCTGCCCCATGGCTGCCTCATTTCTGATCCCAGTTGCGTAACACGTGGCCTCATGTTGACTCATCACTCCTGGGAGTGCCCAAACACCATTGGGCCAGTGTAGTCTCTACTTGGCTCTCCATACATACAGTGGGCCACGTGTGTGTGTGTTTTCCATGGCAAGAGAGAGTGGCCCATAGTGTGCATGTACTGTGAGTCAGTGCGCCCAACTGGAGCGGATTGAGCTTTGACATCCCACATTGGCCCCTGTGGGACTGGGCGGCTGCTTGGCCTGGAGCTTTGATTCGTGTGACCATGCATGGCTTTAGGGTAGAAGAGGGGCAGCCCCTCTTAAGGAGGATGGACTTGCTGGTGGTCAGTAACTGCAGGTGTGAAAGCTGGTGAAGACAGTGGACCCATGGCCTCAGGGATGGTGAGAGCTGGGAACACTGTGTGTGCTGGAAAGGAGTATGTGGTCAGGTTGAGGGCCATCACATAGGCCAAGTTTTGGGGCACTTCTGGGACCCAGAGACAGTGACCAGGAAGTGGCAGCAGATCCTGATTTCACCTGTGAATTGTATTCTCTGCCTGTACCCAGACCTGCTTTGCTTCTGGGCTGCAGATCTGGATCTTACCTTCTGGGACATATGCAGTGGTAGGGGTAAGAAGGAGTTGCCTCAGTGTGTTTGTGAGACAGTGTGCTTGAGGGGTATGAGTCCAGGGCCAGTGCAGACGCAGCCTTGGGGAGGTGGCTGTGAGCAGGCAGTGCCTGTGGTCCTGGTGCTTGCTCTATGGAGGGGGTACAGGGTGCTGGCCTTGGGGCTGGAGGATTTCCAGCTGCAGGGGTGAGGCTGGCAGCCATCCTGACAGTTTGCTTTATAGCAGAAATGTCTTTGGGTCTCATGTCTAGTGCTGTGCAGAGCTTCTTTCTCCTCTGTCCATCTGAATTTGAAGGTCACCTGGTGCCTGTGCCATGCCAGCTCCTGTGTGGCCAAGGGCTTGCTCCACACAGCTATCTAGTGGTAGTGGAGCCCACTGTCCAGGATGGCCTCTGCTGGCACAGCATGCCTGTCAGTGTGTGTTTCTCTGTGTGTAAAAACCCAACTTTTATTCCTCATGTGAAGCATGAGACTTAATGAGGCAGAAATGTAGCCCAGGAAGAAACCCCATGGGGTTGGCCAGTGTGTCTTCTTCTGTGCAGTCTTGCCTTCCTGGTGGAGGGGCCCAGCCGCCCAGACACCTTCAAGAGTGGGCACCCTTGCAGCTTGGCCTGTGTTAGCTGTTACAACTAGCCCTGCCTAGGTCCTGGCTTCTACTATTGCAGAGTGGAGTGGTGTGAGGCGTGAAAGCTGGTGTGATCCAGGCTGGCTGCAGGAGAGCTGAAGAGCAAAGGCAGAGCATGCGGTGGCTCTGAAGAGCAGGATGCAGTTACTCAATGGGTCTTGTTAGGTTTTTAAAAACCTCTGTTAAGAAATATGTACTAGAGTCCAGCGCTTCTTATTTTTGTCACTAACGGATGTGTTAGGAGAAGTAGAATTTACTGCAGTGATAAAAACGTGGGGATACTTCTCTGCATGTTTTTGTGTGAATGCTGCAGCCCTGAAACTTCTCTCATCATTTTCAGTATTCTTCCAAGAGACTGACTGGGAGTGGCCATTTGTTTCCTTTGGAGATCAGTGGTAAGTGTCCAGGAAGCCTGGGGGCCTTCTTAGGGCTGTCGAGGCTGCAAGAAGGTGAGCAAGGCAGAAATGTCCCAGGCCAGGAGGGATTTCGGGACTGGGAACAAAGTTGGCTTCCTTGTGAGGCCCAGGATCCACTGTGTCCTCCTCCATAAGGTAGGGTCAGGAGTGGCCTGGTCAGGATGGGCCAGGATCAGGCCTAGGGCAGCCTCTCCTTTCTCTGCCAGTGGCAGTGTGCCTGGGCCTGGGATATGTCTGGAGGAACAAGGTTTATTTTATAACATCCTGTGACCACGAAGGAGAGAGGTCAGTTGCAGTACTTCATGGTGCGTGCAGGGAAGCCAGGTCCACAGGGAGTATGCAGGAAGCACCTCCTCACTGCCCACGTAGGGGATCACGGGGCCTATGCTCCTGATACTCCAGCATCTCCAGTCCTGTCCAGCCAAGCCGGGGTTGGATCACTGTGGCTCTGACTGACTGGTGTCCACAGCAGCCTTTGTGGATGGTGTGGCAGGAGGTTCCCCGGGCTGCTAAAGTGAAAGATTGTACTAGACTCTGTCACGAGTGGCTGGAAACAAGAAGTGAGTGTCAGTCAGCCAGTCCCCTACCCCTGCCTGGCCTCCTGGGGTCCATTCTTTCTTTGCAGGCGATGGACCAACAGCCTCCATTCTGGCCCAAGCCGCTCAGGCTTTTGCACTCCTCACTTTCTGCCTTCTGCCCCGCCTGGTCCTATCTCTGGGGTGCCCTGTAACATGCCTTTTCCCAGTAGTGGGCCTGCTCCCATAAGTCCTATTGCCTCCGCTTCATGTCCCCAGCTGGACAGTAACTGCATAAGCAGCAGGAGAGACTCAGGTTCCTGGACTCCTGCTCCAGGGCAGGTTGGGGGGTGTCCAGGCTCGTGGCCCAGCTGCCTCTACTTGAGGAGATGCACACTGCTGAGTCTGCATGTGAACCACTGCAGGGGGCAGTACCCTCAACAGCTGGACATGGGGTCTGGGCACCAGGTAGGGCCTGAGCACAGGCAGGTATGGGCAAGCCAAGGCTTTGGGCTGCTGAGGCTGGGGGTGCTACTAGGGCTCCATACCCTGGGGATGTCTAGCTTTCCTGGGATGCCGAATGGGGCCTCCTCTGGGCCTCTCCACACATGACACTGCTGTGTACCTGCAGCACCTCAGGACCTGCAGCCACCTATAGCCATCGCCACTTTGTGCCACAGTTGAAACGGGGTCTGAGGGTGTTGGGATCTCTGTAGAGGTGGACAGTGGGAAACCCTGGTGTGTGGGCAGGTGGGCATCTGAGCCAGGCAGAGCAGGCACAGGGCCCTGTTGTGCCGTGGCAGGGGGAGCATGGCTGTCAGAAGCCGCTCTAAGGATCCGGTGGAGAGGGCGCCTGCCTGAGATGCTGGTGGGAACAGAGTGGAGGCAAAGTGGGAGCGAGGGCCATTCGTTGGTGCTTCTAGGAGCCTCTGGGGGTGACACTGGCATGACTCCCTGGAAAGAGTGTCTTCCTTTGGGAAGTGGAGCTAGCTCTGTAGCCAGTCGCTTACCCAGGGTGGTTTATTTGGATACCTGTGCCTGTATCTGTGTGCGGGGCCTGAGTGCCACAGAGCAGGGTCTGTAGGAGCCAGGCCAGTTGGCCTGTGCCCCATAGGGTGGGTAGCGGCAGCCCCCACACACTTGTCTTTTTTCCTGCTTGTGCTTTGTCTCCTCAGTGGACAGGAGCCCCTGGAAGGCCTTTCGAGGAGGATGGCCCAGCAGAAGGCAGGCAGCTGCCAGCCCCTGCTGCCCCTTCCCACTGGCTCCCTGTGGTGCTGCTCAGGCCCAGGGTCTCCAGTGGCGGCCAGAGTCTCCGGACCCCTGCACCGGCCTGGGTGTGGGCAGTGCTGTGGACCTCCGGGGGAGCACGGGGCCACCCACAGCACCGCCAACCAAGCGGCATTGTCGGTCCCTGTCGGAGCCAGAAGAGCTTGCCCGATGCTGGTCGCCCTGGCGCCCTGGTGGCTCCAAGGTCTGGACTCTAGTCTCCAAGAGGCGATGCAACAGTGGGGGGAGTGCTACACTGCAGCGCTGTAGTGGCCTTGGGGGTACGGCCCTGTCACCTGCTGGCCCCACTTCACCCCTGGCACCCCGGCCAGCGTCAGCCAGCAGTGGCTTTGTGGACAGCAGTGAGGGCAGTACAGGCTCAGGCCCATCCTGGCGTCCTACAGGGCCCTGCCCACTGTCCTCGAGGCGCCGCCTGTCCCTCTCACAGGAGCACCTCATGGAAGCTGGTACCCATCCGCCCTCAGCCAGCAGCACCCCAGCGTCCACACCTGAGCCTGGTCGGCGCCATGGCCTGCTGCGGTGCCGGTCGCAGCCCTGTGTGCTGGGTGGGAGGAGAAGTCGGTGCAAGCGCAGGCGAGAGGAGGATGCCAGGTGGACACGCCCATCCTTGGACTTTCTCAAGATGACTCGGGTGAGGATTCACTGTCCTTTCTGGGGGGGCTCATGGTCAGCCTTATGCTGGCAGGCAGCAGGTGGCTTCTGAGAAACCACTCTCACCCCTCTGCAGTGCTGGGTGGGTCCCACTGCCTGGCTTCCGAGTTCTAGGGACAAGCCCTGGCAGGGAATGAGGAGCTGAGTGCGGGTTCTGCTGAGGAATGGGACTGCCTCCCTCATCACCTGGCTGGGGTGGCGTGAGACACCATGAGGAGCCCAGGAGAGGCTGAGCCTGGTAAGCCACACTCAGCCTAGGGAGTGTGGCATGGAGTGTCCTCAGGATATCCCTGTCTCTCTTGGGGACAGTTCTTTTTGAGGAAGTTTTTTTTTTTGTACCAGGAATCAAACTCATGATTTCATGCTTGCCAGACAGGCGCTTATGCTGCTGAGCTCAGTCCTTGACCCTTGAAGGAGCTTTTGAATCTTGGTCTGGAAGGAAGTATCAGTGCTTCTCCATCTGTTTGTCATGACTCTTCAGAGTCAGAGGAGAAGCATGGAGTGGCAACCAGGGTTCCTGTTATGCTTGCTTCGGGGGGAAGGCTGTGGCCACTTACATGTGTTTGAGCTGGGTGGGGAAGGAGGTGGGAACAAAGAGAATCCAGCAGAGACTGAGGCAGAGCTCAGCAGTTTGGGCCTCTACTTCTCACCCTGTGGGGTGCTTTGGGGTGGGTGTCATGCCTGTCCTGGGGGCAGCTGCTTGAGTGGCCTGTGAGCCCTGTCTGTCTCAGGGTCCACACAGGCCCTCCTGGCTAGCAATTATGGAGTGCAGGGGTCCCTAGTGGAGGCCTGCTTTGGGCCGTGGTAAGGCTCCTGTGGGCTGACCGGTTCTCTGGAGGGTTCTTTCTGGTGGACACTAGGTAGACATGCTGTGGGATGGGGACTGGGGTCAGGAAGGAAGCCCTGACAGTGACATAGTGCTCTGCTCTCCTGGCAGGAGAGGGCTGAGGGAGAGGCTGCTTGGTGGGGAGCTGGGGGCATGCTGATGACAGGGACAGCCCTGCTCTGGACCCCTTGGGAGGAAGGAGTGTGGTCAGGATGGTTGTGACTGGGGTGAGCACAGGGCCAGGGGTGTCCCAGAGGGTGACCTGTGGCCGAGGCAAGGACTTGGCGTGTCCCAGAATGTGGCATGCTGTTCCCCACTGGGGATGGGCTGCTGTGGAGCATGGGGACCAGTGAGCAGCACTCGACTGCTGATTGTGCTTTGCTAGCTTGGAGTTTCTCCTGGAGGAGCTTGAACCTGGACCTGGAGCTGGGAGTCCCAGAGCCCAGAGGGCTCTGAGGTGGGCAGTAGCTGTTGGCTACAGACACCTCCGGGCTCACACGGTTCTGTGGGAGCCCAGGTGGATGATCGGTCCTACTGCTGTGGAATATGTTCTCTGCCCTCTCCTCCTCCACGCCACCCCAGTCATCTGGGCCCCTTGTACCTCTACCTGACACCACCCTTCTCCTTTTCTTCACCTCTGAGCTTGTCAGTTCCATTTAATTTTTTTTTTCTTTTTTTGTCTTTTTATTGGTACCAGGGATCGAACTCACAACTGCCTGCTTGCAAGGCAGGCGCTTATGCCGCTGAGCTAAATCCCCAGCCCCTCCATTTAATTTTGATGCCATCATCAGGAAGACTGACATGGAGACACCAGGTCCTCAGTAGTCACAAACTGCTACGTGGCAGTCACAGGAAGCATCGTGGCATTGGCCCCATTGACCTATGGGGTCAGGGATGCCGGAGACTGAGCACAGCTGGGGCTGTGGGCCTGTGGGCGCTTGGGGGCGCATTGTGCTGCAGGACCTGCTTCTTGCTCCCTCCTGTGACTCCTGTGTCTGCCACAGGTCCTTTCTGGGGGAGTTATGTGGGTCCTACTTTTCCCAGAATGAGTGACCGGCAGGGATGCTGAGAGGAACACATCACCTGTGTGACCCAGTCTTCCTGCCCCCAGCAGGAGCATTCAGGCTGGGCCCAAAAGCCGCTTCTGTGCAGTGGTGCCTTTAGGAGCTGGGCATCTACCTGACTGAAGCCCATGCGTGGGCTTCCCCAGTGTTCACTTGTGCTTTGCGCTTCCGGGTGGCTCTGGAGCAGAGTGGATTACAGTGTGGGCTGGTTGGCCACTTTTTGGGTGGGGAGCTGGTGTGTGGGTCTGCAGAGGCCCAGAGGAGGAGCATGGTTCCTATGGTATGGGACTTTGCAGACTGAAGCAGATCAGCAGAGGGCAACAGCCCTCTGCCCAGTATTTTCACAGCAAAGAGTTAGAAGTTTCGTTTTTCAGGCAGAGCTGTTGCAGAGTTGTAACTGTGCTAAGACTGGGAATGTGCAGCGCACAGGGAGGCCAAAAGAGAAGATGCAGAAGCAGGTGTGGCCTGTGGAGGTGCGCCCTCAGGCTGGGGACCCAGAGCCCCTGGACTGGGCTGTGTGTTCAGCGTTTGGAGGAGGCAGACTCTCCTCCTGCAGCCAGTCCCTGGGCACTGGGAACACTTTTCTTCCTGCTCTCTCTGTGGATAGTAAAAACCCCAACACTTAGCAGCTCATAGCACCGGAGGACTGCTACTGTGGCCTAATTCTACAGGCAGCAGTGTGTGCACAAGACTCTTTTTTTTTTTTTTTTTTTGTCTTTTTCCTTTTTATCGGTACCAGGGATCGAACTCACGACTGCCTGCTTGCAAGACAGGCGCTTATGCCGCTGAGCTAAACCTCCAGCCCCTTGCACAAGGCTCTTTCAGCCAGGAGGCTGGAGTTCAAGGTCAAGGTGCTGGCAACAGTTCCTCTGGCTAGTGCCTGGTCTTTGTTCCAAGATGTTGCTATGGTACTGCTCCTTGGGGGGACAGTATTGTGCACAGAAGAGGTGGAAGGACAAAGTGAACCTTAGCTGGGTTCTCCACCTCCACACAGGAGGACCCACTTGGTCATCTCCCAGAGGTCCCCTCCCGGCAGCACACTACAGAGTCTGAACTGCTTGTGAGTTAGAAGGGGCCAAGTTCAGACCACTACAGGGACATCAAGAGCACAAATGTTCAGAGCTCCACCCAAGGGGCTAAAATTTACAGCTGCTCCTCATCCTGCTGTCTATCAAGATTTGCCTGGTGAGGCTGATACGCATCTCCTGATCTGTCCTCTTCCTGGCCACTGTGCAGTCTCCATCTCTGGGCAGAGCCAGCTTGATCCCTGGCTGTCTTTTTTTTCTCTTGTGGTTCTGGTGATGGGACTCAGGCCCTCGCTCATCCTGGGCCAGCACCATACCACCAAAAAGCCCTGTTAAAACTCTGCTCTGAGACTGTTGTCTCACTCGCTTGCCCAGGCTGGCCTTGTCCTCCCGCCAAGAGGCTGCAGGGGACAGTGGAGCCAGGCTCCTACCCCTCTGCTGTTGTCCACACTGCCATCTCCTGCACCGTTGAGGGCATCCTGCCCTGGGGCTGCCCACCCCACCACTTCCACCTGCCTTGTGGAACCCTGCACATCCAGCCATGGGATGGTGGCCTGGTACGTGAACTTCCGCAGCTGAGTCCCAGGATGGTGATGGCTCCTGCTTCAGAGCTGACACACTTTGTCACCATTGCTATTACCCAAATTAAATAGCAAAATAATTGATGGGGAGAAAAAAAGCTGAAAGCAGAGGAGATAGCCGAAGAGTTTATTCAACATTGGAGGAAGCTAAACATGGAATGACAAGATAGTAAGTAGGTGTGGTCTGCTAGGGTCATGCATCCTGTACATCTGGATGGAGGCTGCTTTCAAGGCAGATGTTGGCCTGTAATGCTGAATTGCACCTTGTGGCCCTGACTGCCCGCTGCTCCAGTGCTCAGGCTCCTCTGGTGCCCTGTAGGCTGCACATCTGTCACTGGGTCACAGGGTGGTGCTCTTCTGGGTTGCTGTCTGCATTTTTGGAACACCTGAAGTACAAGAGCTTTGGGCATTTCTGTTAGATGCTCATGGGGCCTGCTGGCTGGGCTTCTTTAGACTCTGGAGGGTGATGCTCCCAGCATCCCTGGCCCTGGCACTGGATGTCTCTCTTCAGCCTCTGAGCCTGGCACTCCTCCCATAGCCTGTGGGCCCCCTGGGGGACCTCCTGGTGTGCCTGGACATGTCTGGTGTCTCGAGTGTCTCAAGGGTGAAGATCCCCAAAGATTGGGCTGGGGATTTAGCTCAGCGGCATAAGCGCCTGCCTTGCAAGCAGGCAGTCGTGAGTTCGATCCCTGGTACCGATAAAAACGAAAAAGACCAAAAAAAAAAAAAAAAAAAAAAAAGATCCCCAAAGATTGTGGCCCCTGCTTGGAAAGTGCAGGGCCACATTGGCCTGGGCACTGCATGTGGCCCCACTTCATCAAAAGTTCTCACATTTTCCCTTTCCCTGTGTGAGCTGCATCCCGAGGACTTCAGGCAGAGCTTCAGGGGTGTATGTGGGGGGTCCATGGCATCTGTTCACACAGACAAGCACGTGTGTGTGCCTGTGGGAACAGCTGGCCATTTTTGTCCTGCCTAAGGTGTGGATCCTGCCACATTCCTTGAGCCCCTGTGGCTCAGGACAGGTCTTTTGCATCCTTAGCAGCTGGGGAAGTGCTGAGCTTGCCCGGCTGTCTGTCTGTTTCTTGACCTGGCTGGCACTCGTGCAGCCTGCGCCCCTGGCACTGGCCCCACCTGGCACTGGTTGGGGATGGCATTGCTCACAGTGAGAGGAACTTGTGCCCTCAGAGGAGTGCAATTGCCTTAGCTTGGCACAGCCAGAGTCCTCAGTGAGTGAGGGGTTGGTACAGGCATGGCTGGCTGGGCTGGGCACTTGTGAAGTGTGTCAGGGTGGCTGTAGGAGGGTGTGTATTTTCTCCCAGAATCACCAGCTCATTGCTGTTGAGTGAACCCAGCTGTAGGTGCTGGAGCCTTAGCACTGCCTTGGATGGGCAGTTGCCCACAGACTGTCATGCACACAGCTCCAAAGACTCTTTGGGGTTCAGAGCCTGGCCCACAGCTGGGGTCAAGCCTGTGTGTGGGGGTTCCTGTGTGCTGTCTGGTTGGCTATGGGTGCAGCAGGCGCAGACCTTGGGCTGAGCCTGGGAGTAGGAGGCTAGACAGGCAGGAGGGGCAGGTGGCAGTGGTGTGGTCTTGTTGTCCTCACAGTGCTATGGCTGTCCTTCTCTTCACCCTGCTGCACGTGCCATCTGTGTTGACGGTAGGTGTTGAGCTGAGGCTGTTGAGGCTGCTGATGTTTTCACCAGAGCTGTACAGCTGCAGTCTGGGAGGTCTCGTGTTATGACAGCAGGCTGACAGGTCCAGGTGGTGACTTCTGCAAAGCTCAGGCTTGTGTTTGTCCACAGGGTGCCCTGTGTGTTGTGAACCAAAATTTAAGATTGGGCTGCTCACCACATGGTGCCTGATTTGGTTACGCGTGGCAGTTGTGGCAGTGGTGGCTCCTGGGCCCAGTGCCCGCACTGCCTGTGGGAACCCCACGTCCTGCAGGACTCTGGTTATGACCCTGGCCTTCCCACCCATGTGGAGTTTGCATGTAAGAGAGACATGGATAATAAAGTTTATTTTGGTTTGGAAAAAATTATGTGACAAAAAAAATGTGACCAGTTATAGCTTGAATGATTTAGTTCTTTAGAATATTCTCAAATATTTACTTTTTGATAGTTGAACAACAAAAAAACCCACTGCCATTTCTCCCGTGGAAGGAGGTAACTTCAGCTTCCAGGGAGGTGCTCCTCCTTGGAACATGTGCCTGTTTGCTTCATGTTGCTGTGAGACTGTTTCGGGAACTTTGTAGCAGGAGAAGAGATTTCCCATTGCTGCTCATAGCTCTGAGGAGGGTGGTATTGGGCTGTGGGGGCCAAGTGGTATGAGGACCAGTGCCACCCTGTTCTAGCACTGCTGTGTCTGCATGATCTGTCACAGTCTTCCCATGTCACTGTGCCCCAGCACCTGCACCCTCAGGCCAAGCCTTGTGGTGGCATCTGTGGCTCAGCAGAGCAGTCTGGCATGAGCTTGGGCAAGCTGCATCCAGCAGGGGGAGCCTGGAGGAGCTGAGGTGGCCTGTGCATGGGAAGGCAGGCGGGCCTGGGCCCTGCAGAACAAGGGATAGGAGGCCAGGCTCAGAGGCGGCTCCAGGAGACTCGAGGTCAGGTCACACCCAGGGGCGAGTGATACAACCTCAGCTTAGAGGGTATGTGGGAACGGCTCCAGAGTGGACAGGACTCTGGTGGAGGAGCTCAGTCTGCGGCTGCAGACCCAGGTGGAATTGACAGGCAGAGTGTGCGGGGGAAGACAGCACACCAGAGGCTAAGGCTGTGCCACCTGGGTTCTTTCTGAGTGTTGTTGTAGGTGAGAGGCAGAGCCATGCACACTCACTGCTGCTTCTGGGCTGCCAACCCACATCAAATAAAGAGCCCTCACCATTCTAGGGGCAGGGAGGGAGTGGGGTGGTCTGAGGGGGTGGGGCTTGAGAGTCAATGAGTGTTGAAGTCCAGGGCTAGACATGAAGGCTTCCTGCCTAAAGCCCGAAGGCAGCTGGAAGGAGCGTTGTCCTCATCCTGTTCCTCATTCTGGTCCTAGTCCTGAGGGAAGTTTGTTGGAAGGTTGTTGAAAATGGGGAGCATGGGCCCCTCCCTGGCCATGTATGAGGTTGGCTTTCTGGTGTGGTGAGCACCTATCATCCTAGCAGTGGGAGGCTGAAGCAGGAGGATGGTGACTTGGAGCTCTATCTGGGAAATCTAGCAGCACCCTGTCTTAAAAAAATAAACGAGAAGGGTTGGGGGTATATCTTGCTGCAAAGGCCTGGGTTGAATGCCCAGGCCCCGCTTCCTAACCCAAAAAAAAAGCAAGAAAAGAGGGAACCCCAGGACATAGCCCACACTGAGTGCCCTGGGCACCTGGGTCTCACCAGAAGTCAAGCCTGGCAAGCTGGATGCCTTTGGTCTGGGTGAGGCTGTAGCAGATACCATGGGAACCACCCAGATACGAGCCAACAGGGCAAGGCAGGGACAGGGAGAGCGGTTCCAGGATGCTGGCCCTGAGGGCACAGGTGTGGGCTGAGTACTGCCTCGCAGCAGGGTGATGAAGTGTGTTCAGCTTGTTTTTTCTGTTGCAGACTTTAAAGAACTCAAAGAGCCTCTGCTCACTGGACTACGAGGATGATGATGAGGATGACACCCAGGTGAAGACGGTTGTGTCGTCCCCATGTCACTCGCAGGGCCTTGTGGGCATTGTCACACCTGGCTGCAGCCCGAGGGCTGCTGGCCTCTGCCCCGCCAGCCCATGGACCTCAAGGGAGCCAGAGGCTGTCGAGGGTGAGGGTGAGCGTGAGGGCGGGAGCAGTGGGGATCCCAGTGACTGGGACAGTGCTGGAGAAGAGGGCATCTTCCCTCTGGACCAGGGTGACCTGGACCTGGAGCAGATCGAGAACAACTGACCTGGCTTGGCTGTCACCTGCTCCCTTGGGGAGAAACTGTTTCCTGCTGTTTTGAACTTAAGGGTCTAATTTTGACTCAGTTTTTCCTAAAGAAGTATTTTGCATTTTTATGGCTTTTGCAGTTCAGGGAAAGCTTCTCTATTTTGAAATGAATTTTCAAGAAGAGTGTTGTTAAGTGCGAGTCACCCTGTAGTCCTTTTGTAAGAAGCCTACTGTGAAGAGCAATGTGGGTTTGGCTGGGGCTGGTGGTGGGCACCCTCCTCTGGGGCAACTACTGCTCTGGACCTGTGTGGGCAGTCGTGCTCTTGGACCTGGTCCTCCTGTGCTGGCTTAGGCCATGTGGCTTCCTGGCTGGGGGTGGCGCTGCTGTGCAGGCTGAGTGGTGAGGACACCATCCCGCAGGTGGCTGTGGCCGCTCTGCAGTGCCTCATCCATGAGTTCAATAAAACACGTTGCTCTGTTCGGCCTCTTCTTGGTCTGGGTTTCCAAGGTGGGGACAGGTTGCCCTGCAGGCTCTGCCGGGGGCTGCAAAGAGCACAGCTTTCTGCAGGTCAGAGGACTGTGGGACTTTTTGCCGAGGCTTGGTCTGGGGGAAAGTGTGCGTACAGGGAAAGGCAGCGGTCATCTGGGTGGCATGACCCAGGCGAGCAGGCCTGGGAAGGGCGTTGCGTTTCCAGGGCCAGGTTTTCTGGGACCTGGTGCCATCCATCTCATGGCTGCTGGGGGTCATTCTGCTATTAGAATGCAGGCTACTACCTGAAGGGCCCTGAGCTCGCAGAGGTGCTCGAGGTGGGCATTGCACAGGGGTCTTACACCCTGTGCAGACCCTGCACCGCTGTGGCACCCTCCCCTGAGAGCTGCTGCCCTGGGTCCTGGCCCAGCACTGCAAGATGAGTCCCTGCCCTGCTCGAGAGCACCAGTTGCCCTTGGGGCGCAGCTCCTGAGCATCCAGTGTCCTCCACCAGATGGCGCCCAGGCTGGGATGTCCCCAGCTCAGCCCTTACCCATGTGGCAGCCCTTAGAGGGCTTTGAACACCCGCCACCAGGGGAGGAATGGGCAATCTTGTCTGTGCCCCTGTCCAGCACCGCTGAGAGGTCACACCTGCCCTGGCCTCCGCACCCCAACACCTTCCTGAGGCTCCCCTGGCCTTGTCCACAGCCCCCTTGCTCTGCATTGCAGGCTTGGCGCCCATTCCCTCCTCCCTGTGCCTGCCTGGCACCTTTGGTGGGGCAACCTTGGCTGCGGTGACCTTGCTTTTAGCTGCTCCCATCACCTGGTCTTTGACTGGAGCCAAGACTGCATGACCCTGCCTGTCCCAGCATCCAGCCCTGGCTGGATGTCCACATCACCACTTAAGTAGGCCAGGACAGAGTGCCCTTAGAGGTGCCGGTGTCCTCGAGGGTCTGGCGCCCCCCAGGCTCCTTTCCTGAGTTGGCCCCTGCCCATCAATGCCCCGTGACAGATGCCTGTGCTCAGGACGGGGGTGGGGTTGGTGTTGGTGTCCTAACTTCTTTTTTTCAGCACTGGAATTTAACCCAGGGGCTTCTACACTGAGCTGCATCCCCAGCACTCTGTTGTTTGAGACTGAGTCTCCCTAAGTTGCGCAGACTATGCATGAACTTGAGATGCTCCTGCTTTAGCCTCTCTGAGAGGCTGGTATTACAGGTGTGCATGGTATTGAGTGTGTGTACACTGCCATGCAGCCAGCAGTACCATCACTGTGTCCATGGACCGTGGTGGACAGGGGCCCAGCACAGATCTGCATCTGTCTTGTGTCCTCAGCCTTATGTCCGAGGCCAGCCCTACTGCAGTCCTGTCAACTGCGTGCCTTCCAGGGAGGTGCTGTCCTGTGCGCGGTTCCCGGCTTTGCTTGCTCTTCACTGGATCCTCCAAGCCCACCACTCTGAGGACAGAGATGCCTGGATACTGCCCAGCAGCTCTGCTCCTGGCCCTGCCCACCCCTGTGCCCTAGGTACAGACAAGAACTCCCTGCTCATCTCAGAGCCATCCTCATCCTCCCAGACTGCCCTACTGCACACCCAGGTGTCTGCTCCTCAAGGGGCCCCCAGGAGGTACACAGCAGAAAAGGATTTGTGGGTGGCCAGGGCCAAGCTGCAGAAAAGCTCCGGATGGTGCCGTCCTCCTCATGCCACTCCCATCTGAGACTCCAGCCATCTGTCCAGACCCCTGGCAGGGTGTGAGGGCTGGGAGGGCCTGAGCCAGCAGTCCCTACAGTAGGGGACAACCCCTGGGTGTGTGGCTTTTCTTATGGTGCTGCCCTCCTGTAGCCTTGGTGCTGTCTGTCCTAGCCTGTCCTGGCCATCTCCCTGCCTGGCTCATGCTGCCCCCCTGTGAGCTGTGAGTAGAGACTCCTCAGCAGCTGGGCCTGGGGTGGGTGATGACCCGACTCTGGGCCCTGGCCTTGGGCATCCACCTCAGTGGTGAGCCCTGGGTCCTTGGTTGGGGTTGGGCCCTGTTGCACATATGTGGCTGGGGAAGGAAACCTGGGCTGTGCTGGTCCATGGCCTTCTGTGGCACCCAAAGCCCAGTTGCCAGGCACCCACCAGCCTGCTCATGCACTAGTGACCCTCTCCGTGGGTCTAGTCCCCCTCATGGCGGGAAAGGAGAGAAAGAGTAGAAGATAAAGTGGGGGCCACTGCAGGAATATGGGACCACAGTTGCTCTTTAGGAACAAAGGGCTCTGAATCTTGTGCCCGCTGGCACTTTATTAGCCAGCATGAGGTGGGGGAGGGTGCTTTTGGAACAGCATAGAGGCCATGGTAGAATGAGCCAATTTAACATAAAGGAAACAAGCCACACCAGGGTGCTAATCTCACTGACCAAGAGGAAGTTGATTTCCACATTCCAGAGCCAGCCCATGAGGCAGGCAGGGCCAGGAGAGCCTAGGAAGGGTGCTATGTCAGCTTACAATGAGTGGTCCCCAACACTACGGCATCAGTGGCTGCTCCTGGAGAGTGCTCTTGATGGGAAGGCAAGAGTGGGAGGGAACTGGAGAGGGACATTCTCTTCAGTGGCCAGTGCAAAGGCCCTGGTGCAGAGGGCAGCAAAGAAACGTAGGGCTTGCTTGAATGGAGGGATGGGGTAGAAAACGACTTTAGTAAGATGAGTCTGTGCATCAGTAACTATAGGTGCAGGAGGGTGAAGATGATGGAATGGAAACACAGCAAACAGGAGTGACAGATGTGCAGGTCTGCTCCTCTAGCTGAGACTGACTGTCCTCTCAGTAGTGAATTGGTCAAGTTGACTCAACAGTAAGGACGCAGCTCCAACTGGTCAGATGCGTGGGCAGCAGTGGACAGTGTCCTTGGCATGGGGCTCTTACCATCCAGGAGCATGGTATTCCAGGGAAACGAGCCTGTTGAGGTCTGGCCTCAAACCGCAGGGAGAAAATCTCAGTACCTCTCCAGGACTGGCTGTGTCTGAGTGAGACTCAGTAACAAAACAATGGCAGATAAAACCCTGTGTGCAGGAAGTCCCAGGGATGTACTTCTTGTAACTCACAGCAGGGAGAAGACACGCAGAGCTGCACGTTGGGCTGGGGAGCAGATCAGAATCATACAGGAGGGAATTTGTAACCTTGGATGATGTTGACAAGGTGGAGAACTAATGTCCTCAGCATTCAGCTTTGGAAACCAGGGCAGAGGCTGGCAGGGCATTTCTTCTAAAGGACAGATAGCAGGTGTTCTGATTTTGACATGTCTCCCACACATGTCTCTTTGCTTTGTTTCTTCCTCTGTAACCCTTGAAAAATGTGCAACCCCTATTAGCCTTTGGCCTGTACAGAAACAGGTAGGAGGCCAGTTCAGTCCCTGGCTGTCATTGTGACCTCTAACTTAGGGGAAAGAAAGTTTAAAGCCAAAGAGAAGGAGAGAAAGGTGCTAGTAAGATGGCAGCAGGGGGACATGAAACTTGCTGGTTGAGGTAATACATGCCTATAATCCTAGATCACTCAGGAGGCTAAGGCAGGAAGATGGCAAATTTGAGGCCAGCCTCGGTGACTTAACAAAAGTCTGTGTCCAAGTAAAAAGGGCTGGTGAATGTTTTCAGTGTGTCCTGGGTTCAGTTTCCAGTACAACAAAAATTAAAAATTACATGACACCAACAGTGAAGAAGTCACATAATATTCATCTTGATAGACTAACAGATTGACAAATATCAGTTGATCTTGACTGGGACAAAGAACAAGCATATGATATTAATAGGAATGAAAAGACAGGCAAAATTACACAGGCTGCAGAGAGATCAGGAACAACTTGGATGAAATGGATGAGTCCCTGGGAAAGTATGGCCAAAAACTGACTGAAAGAGAAAGAGAGCCTGCAGGTAGGCTTGTGGCCCCTGAACAGATCAAACTGTTCAAAAGCTTTCTGTTAGGCTGGGGGTGGTGGTGCACGCCCGTGATGCCAGTACTCAGGAAGTTGAGGCAGGAAGAATTGCTGGAGTTTGAGGCCAGCCTGGGTTACAAAGTGCTTTTAAGGCCAGCCTAAACCACATAGTGAGACCCTGTCTCAGAAAAGACAAAAACAAAACAACTTCCTGCCAAGGAAATAGCCCGAGATAGTTTTGCAGGCCAGTTTGTAGGCCAGTGTAGGAAATCCTGATCTTTTACAATGTCTCTTAGAGAATCCTCTGGAAGACTGCACAGGCTCTTGACATGGAAATGGGACAGAAATGCTGGGCCTTTGGGGACTGTTGCTGGCTGAGGTGGTTAGAGATCCCTGGGTTCGTCCCACATGAGCTGAGTCTGACAGAGGGACTGCTCTGCTCTGCTCTGGACGATGTCAGGGGACAGTGGGGCCCACAGAGACCTCTGCACACCTGCCTCCCCTGCTTCCTCATGAGACCCCAGGCTAGCTGGGCCCGGCTGCTTCCAGCCCCTCCTGCTATGGACCATGCCAGAGGCGCAGTGGGGGGCCAGGGCCTGGGGTCTACACTTTCAGCACAGCCCTCTGACCTGGTGGCTGGGCCCTGCTTGCTACGGAGCCCCCTATGTACCCCGCTTGGCTGGGAAGTCTCCCCATGCTCAGCTGTGTCCTCACTGTTTCTGGAGTCTCTGGCTCCCTTGACTGTGGCCTGGTCACCTGAAATGGGGGTCCTGCTGTGTGTCGTGTGGGACAGGAACCAAGTCCTACCACTGGAGCCTGGACCACGTGTCTCTTCCCACGTCTGTGCTGATGGACACGGTTTTGTTTTAAGTATCTTTAACCTAATTTTGGTAATTTATGTTATCTTAGAAAATTGTCGGTGTCATCGAGAATATCGAATGTATTGTCACTTCCAGTCTCCTCCACTGCCCTGCTTCTCTCCTCCTGTGCTCCTGGGCTTTTGTAGTTTTTCTTTCTCCTCTGATTTGTTTGTTTGTTTATTTATTTATTTAGGAGAATGGGCTCTTGGATTTACAGATGGGCTTTCCCATTTTTCTTGTTTCCAATTCATTAAT